TTGCTACATGGAGAAAATGTTCTTACGTGAGGACCCATTTCATCCTTGCTATAGCTCAGAAAAACTTGACAAAGAAAATTCGATGAGTCAGCTAATCCCCACATGGCTCAAGGGTAACTGCAGTCAGGAGAGTCGGCCTGGCCTTGTCTGTGGATGCTCACCATACACCATTTGTGTATTTGGTGTTTACTGCACATAATCAACACATGGTCCAGCACTTAAGGAGCTTTTTGAGTGAGGGAGAAGGACAGAGAACCATTGTCATGCAGTCTGGAGAGTGAGTGATGGAACTCTACGCAGGTCTGTCGCTGGCATGAAGGAGTGAAGAAGCCGCTGGGGGTTTAACGACCCAAGAGGAAGTTACTGAGCAACAAGGGAGTGGGCACTCAAGACTCACTGCAGAACAGACCCCTTGCTCCCATGATAGTTTGACAGATCTGTTCTCAGATTCTTATGCTGGAGGTCCCTACCCTGCTTTGCTCAGACCTTTGATTTTGGCAAAATTACTGGTTAATCTTGTCCTCCCATGGGAGGACAGTCTGGTCAAGTACTGCTATGGTTTTGATATGGTTTGAGTATGGCCCTCAAAGCAGGTAGAACCTTAACAAGGCATAGTCTAGTGCAAGGCAGTTAGGTCAGGGATGCCACCTAGGAAGACACTGAATGTGATCTTGAGGAGTGAGTGAGTTCCTGGGAGAGCAAGCCTGGCTCCTGAATCCTGCTTGCTTTCTGTTTGGCCATGTGGTCTCTCCCTGTCTCACACATTCTTACCATCTGCCATGTAGTGTTGCCAGAAGACCCTCACCTGAGCCAACCAGATGCCCTTGGACTTGCAGAACCATAAGCTCAATAAATCTCTTTTCTGTAAAAGTACCCTGCCTCAAATATTTTGTTATAGCAAAGGAAAATGGAGTGATACCTCCAAAACTTGTACATTCTTAACAACTAGAAAACCAAACTCAAAGATGGACAAAAGATTTGAATAGTTATTTCTCCAAAGATATAGAGATAGTCAATAAGCACATGAAAAGATGTTCAACATCACTATTAGAGGACTGCAGGTTAAAATCATAAGATACTACTGCTCATCCAGAGGATGGATGACTATTATAAAACAGTAATAACAATAAAGAAGAATAAAAGTGTTGGAAAAGGATGCAGAGAAATTGGAACGCTGGTACATGGCTGGTGGGAACATAAAATGGTAGCAGCTGCTGTGGGCACTTTTCCTAGGTTCCCGTACTAGTAACATTTTGCAAAATAGTAGTATATCATCCCAACCAGGTTGTAGACATTGATGCAGCCCACCTTATTCAGACTTTCTAGTTTTAGTTGTACTCACATGCTCACACACACGTATGTGTTAAATTCTGTATGATTTTATCAGCTGGGTAGGCTTGTGCATCCACCACAGTAGTCAAGACACCGAACTGTTCCAACACCACAAGAATGCTAGTGTTTTCCTTTTAAACTATACACATTCTGTCACACACCCAGCCCCTCACTCCTGGCAACCATAAATATTTTCTCCATTTCTAAAATTTATTATGTTGAGCTAGGGATGGTGGTACACAGCTGTAATTCTAGCACTCAAGAGGCTGAGGCCACAGGTTCAAGGCCAGCCTAGGCTACCTAATAGTTCAAGGCCCACCTAAACTTCATGGTGAGACCCTGTCTCAAAAAACCCAAAATAGAATGAAATTTATCATTTCAAAAAATGTTATACTAGCTGGGGATGTGGCTCAGTGGTAAAGTGCCTGCCTAGTGCACAGAAGGCCCAGGTTCAATTCCCAGCACCACAAAAAAAAAGAACAAAAAAGTTATACCAAATAGAATCATAATATATTTAATCTTTTTACTCAACGTAATTTCCTGGAGAGCAATCTAAATCATCGAGTGTATCAGTAGTTTGTTCCTCTTATTGCTGAGTAGTTGATGACTTGAACGTACCATGGTTTGTATAACTACCACTGAAGACATCCAGGTTTTAGCTATTACAAACAAGGCTGCTGTGGACAACTGTGTACATGTTTTTGTGTGCGCACAAGCCTAATTTTCCTGGGGTAAGTACCCAAGCATGACATTGCTGGGCTATGTGGTCACATCTCCATCAGTAATGAGAACTGTCATTGTTGTGTATTTGAGCCATTCTGATAGTTAGGTGGAGATATCTCATTGTGGTTTTTATTTGTGTTTCCCTGGTGTTGAACACTTTTTTCATGTGTTTATTTGCCATCAGTATATTCTCTGGTGAAATCTCTTTCTGTCTCTTTCTCTTTCTTTCTCTCTCTCTCTCTTTCTCTCTCTCTCTGTCTCTCTCTGTTTTTTTTAAATTTCTCTTATTCTTTATATCTCCACCCCACCCCCTTTTTGTGATACTGCTCTACATCCTCAGCCCTTCATAATGTTTTATTTAGAGACAGGTCTCACTAGGTTGATAAATTGCCCTGGCTGGGCTCAAACTCACAATCTTCCTGCCTCAGCCTCCTATAGTGATGGGAGCACGGACACATGGTACCGTGCCTGCCCAACCTTTTCATCCTTTTTATTTCTTATTATTTTAGCAAGCGTCTCTCAGCATGTAATGTGATTACACATTTGGAATACAGAGATAAAAGACCAAGAACTGTCAGGGAACTGGCAGTTTGGAGGAGATAAGTAGGATTTTTGTGTAGCAAGGGGTTTGTACTTTCCACTGAGAGAATCAGTGAAATCCTGGCTCCTGGAGGAGGAAATCTCTGATCACCATTTGAAGGCCTCAATGCAATACAATACAATACAATACAATACAATACAATACAATACAATACATTGGTATCTATCTACAGCTGTATAGCTATATTACTTTTACACTTTGATATGTTATGGTTTGTGTCTGGATGTCCCCACTCTCAAAGCCTCATGCGGTCATAGGGCTTTTTCAGAGGTGGCTTTATCCAGACTGTGTGATGCTGGGATTAAGGATGTGTGATTAGTAAATCAGTCCACTGATTGGTTTGGCATAGCTATGGCTAAGATTAAGGATGTAAGTGCTATACCCCACCTAGGGCGGGTAGCCTGCATACAATATAAGGGACACAAGGAGTCTTGTCTCCCCCTTGTTGCTTTTGCTGTCTTCTGCTGCCTTGAATGGTTGCCCCTCTGCCACGTGCCACCCTGCCTTAGAGCCAGCAATTATGGACTGAAACGTCTACATACTGTGAGCTAAATAAACGTTTTCCCTCCTTTAACTTTGGGTGTGGGTATTTTGTCTCAGCAACAAGACACAAGTAACTAAGACAGGATATTAATATAAGTAGAACTATATAATGAAGTCTTAACAGGACAATCTTCATTTTAAGTAATTCCTTATGCAAACTTTTTGTTAAAGGTTAGCAAACACTGCACACAAAACATCTTCCTAAGTTCTTGAGGGTTCCAAGATGGAGATGACTATATTCCAGACCCAACGATCCATAGCAAGCTGACAGAAACTGGGGAGTTACAGGAGAGTGAGAAATTAATCCTCACTGGAGGTTAGAGAAGGATTTTTGGAAGAAGGAGAGTTTGAACTGAGATTTGACAAATGAGTAGAGGTTTAAGAGGTAGATCAAAAGGGAACAGATTTCACAAAAGAAATCTTTTGTCGTACCGGTAATCAAATCCAGGTGAGCACTACCACTGAGCTACATTCCAGCCCTTTTCATTTTTCATTTCAAGACAAGTGCTTGCTAAGTGGTCTAGGTGGGCCTTAAACTTTTGATCCTCCTGTCTCAGTCTCCTGAGTCTGCCATTGCATTCAGCCAAAATGGAACACGTTTGGTCTGACACTCAGATCCCCACCTGTTATTAGTTTCCAGGTCCCCATCTTGCTCTAACCCACAGAGTTGCTCCTGAGGAAAGATCTTCACCCTAGTGTCAGAATTCATATTTGTTCATGGGTTCAATTAAAGAAGTGCTAGGGAAGTTGCATCTAGCTTTTGGATGAGTTCCACAATCTAATTTTAGAAAGCCTTTTAGCCTACAGATGGATGGTCTGAGGCCAGAGAGGCTCAAATTCAGCCCAGCCCCATTGACCCTCCTCTGCCTAGAAAGTTCCCAAGCTATGACAAGGCAGTGATGAGGGTTTCCCATGAAAAATTTTAAAATTAAGTATTGTGAAGTAAGTGGACTGGGGAGTATTGAGTTCATAAATACCAATATTTTTACACGTCTCCTTCAAAGAATGTAATTTTTACATATACTTGAATAAACCGCATTCACCAGTTACTTGTAAACAGTGTCAAGAAAAAAGGCCAAGCATGACGATGCATGCCTGTGATCCTGGTCAGCACTCTGGGAGGCTGATGTGGGAGGATCACAGATTCAAGCCCAGCCCCAATTAGTGGCTTAGAGAGACCACATCTCAAAAAAAGGAGAAAAGGAGGAGTGGGACTGGCGTGGTATAAAGGCTCTGGGTTCAAACTCCAGGACCGGGGGGAAAAAGGGTCAAGAAAAGATGAGATAAACCAGCTTCAAGCTGTTCAAGCTGGGCATAGGCTGAGGCAGGAGGAGCAGCCTAAACTACATAGAACCTATCTAAAAAACCCCCTCTGTTTGGCAGAGATTAGAATGATAGGAATCTGGAAGATAATTATGAGATGGGAGGAAAAATCAGATTTCTTCTTCCAATCAGGAAAAAAGGCCATTACCAGCTGTAGAATAAGCAAAACTATCTTATAGGTAAGTCATAGCCCAAATGTGAAGCAAACTACACTATAGCATGACTTTGAGACTCGCAAAGAAAGGATTTTCCATGTCTAACATTTTCCTGAAGTGATACAGGAGTCAAGATACTGATTTGTAGAGAAGGAGATTATGACCATTGCAGTGAACATTTCTGTAATCGCAATACTGTTTAGTACCCATTTAGAGCAGACAAGTGTGTTTACAGAACAGGAATGAGAGCAGTCAGTCTCGGTGACGTCCGCGCATGCGCGTGGACTGAAGTTGCGACTTGGGAGTCTCGTGCTCTTCTCATATGGCGGGAAATCTGGATGCTGTGCCACACGTATGACCGAGTGAGCCAAGGCTTTCAGTTTATTATTTAAGATACAAATTTGGGTAATTAATAGGAGAGTGACACAGCTGTAAAAAACTAATGACTGGAAAGTAATGTATTATAAATTAAATAATAACCTTTCAGGATGAGCAATCTCAAGAAATAAAAGCATATTCTGAGTTAGGAATAACTGCCAGCGGTGGCAGTTAAAAGTACAGCTCTGGGAAGTGGTACTAGAGGTGAGCAGAGGGGAGGCTGAGAGAGTTTTACTGTCAGGTAAGCACTTGCTTTGGTGAAAAGAAAGGAGAAAAAACAGTTGTATTGACCAGCAAGAAAGATTATTGAAAGGAGCAGATACGCCGGGAAATTCAAGTTGTTTGGTTTATGAAAGTTAGGCAGAGAAACACTTCTGTGTTGGGGAATTACTGAGTTTAACTGCAAGTACTTCATTACCTAATGTCAAGAGAAAACCTACGTGCATTTTAAGTTTTCCTAAATTCACCTCTCTGTGGGAGGTGAGGAGCCCTCAACTCTGGTATAGACGTCTGATTGCCATTTTTGTTACAGAGAGAGCTTGGGTTTGGGGTTGTTTTTTGTTTTTTGGTCTTTTTTGGTTTGTTTTCTGTTTTGAGGTAAACAAAATGAATTGGTATGAGATTCTTCCAAATATTTAAGGTCTCTGGAGTGACCTAGATCTTATTCTATTTAGTACAGTTAAACTCTTCACTAGTGCGAAATTCTCATTTATTTTCCTACATAAGAACACAGTGGTGATTGTATGATGCCAATCATTGAAAAATGACAGTCACTATAATTTAGCTTTGGACATAGCCATTGCTAAGGTCCAGGTTGCAGACTCCAACTCAACAAGTTCGCATTGGTATCTACTCCCAGGCTGCTGGCCAGCGCGTAGCACCTGGCAGACATGGCTGTATTGTGTCCTATGTCTGCAGGGCGTTCTGTGGTGCCACCCTGTGGTTGTGACGCTAAACTAGAGCATGTCTTCCTTTTCTCTCTAGGAAGGCCCTTTTGTCTACTTGTCCTTAGTAGGAAACGTTGCCAATTCCGATGGCTTGATTGCATCTTTATGTAAGTAATTAAAAACATTTGCATTTGAAATGTCAGAGATTAATTCCAAATGTGACTGTCAGTGAAATGGATGCCTATATCACACACTGTATGATTCTATGTCTATGAAATATCCAGAATAAGGTGAGTCTATAGACACAGATAGGAGATTACAGGTTGCCTAGGGCTGAGGTGACAGGAGGAACTGCTAATGGGTCAGAGTTTCTTTTGGGGGCAATGCCATGGTCTAAGTTCAGCTGTGGTGGTTCAGACCTGTGGATATCTTAAAGCCCATTCATTAAACAGAGGAGTTGTATGGCGTGCAAATTACACCTCAGTGAAACTATGTATTAAGAAACATTTATGTGAGTGCGGATTGAAGAGCTTGCAGCATTTAAACTGGGTGGGGGTTTTCATACTTTTAATGTCAACTTTCTTTTTGTTGTGCATCAATATTTGTAATCTAGTTCCCCAAACTCCTCCTGCCTTGTGGTTATTAACTAGTTTTCCCCACCTCTTCATGCATGACATAAATCAGCCAATATTCAATCCTTTAGGATCAACTGCCCACCACATCCATTGTCGATACGACAGGTAAATGAGCCACCTAGCAAACAGCATCTCCGCTACTATGGAATGTTGATATCTCAGAAATGCTTTCCTTGTTGCTTTTAGGTGGTCAGTGTTCCCTCAGGGACCTTAGTCATATAAGAATCTAAATCAGGTCTCAGCCCAAGGATTTCTGATATCATTGGGTGTAGGCCACGGCACCCAGGAGTACTGTGTGCCTTGTGGAAATAGGCAGCCAGGTGGCCCGATAGCTGAAGGAACGTGCTGTGTGTGACTTCAAAATGTCACTGTGGGATCATTTTTGGTCTGAGACCTAACAAATGATTATAAGTGTGTTATACATTGACGTCTTTGTTCCTTCGCTTAATCTAACTGGCAAAGTATGACCTTTTTGCCTGCCCCATGCAGTACTTTGTCCCTCAACCCTCCTAATGTGTACCTACCTGCCTAGCACAAGCATATGCGTACCACTGGGCTCCACCCCATCCCGGTCACATTTTTTTCATACCCCTAAAATCATGTCCTCTAGCCAGAGCCATGTGGGAAACTTCTAGAGAAGTTCTAGAGAACTTCTAGAGAAACTTCTCTTCTAGAGAGTTTCTAGAGAAGTTTCTCTTCTAGAGAAACTTCTAGAGAATTGAATCAGCTATAGTTAGTGCTTTTGGAAACACTTGGTGACTCAGTCCTCTTGGTAGAAGTCCTGCTACTTCAGTTCCTGGGCCAGGCTTAGCACACCTGCACATCATGCTGGTCAGTGTTTACATTAACCTTTGCCAGTGGACGGCTACTGAAGCCCAGAGCCTGAAGGACCCAGCTTGAGTCACCATCCCTCCATGGTGAGTGTCACAGGGGATGCAATTGCCTCCCACCCTGGCTGCCCTGCCTAGCCTCAAAGAAAATGGAACAGCCCAGATTCAGCTCAGTTCTGTCAAATGTGAATGTCTAACATGACCTTTCCTGATCATCTTCACGTTAGAGAAGTGAAAACTCATTTAATGAGGGTGCCTTTTACAGATAAAGTAAGTAGTGCTTTCCAGGCCCCAAAATAGGCAGAATCACCCAACTGCTCAAATAGATTCTGACCTAGAGGGTCTGGGCCGGAATAGCCTAGACATGGCCCCATGTGCTGTCCTTGGCTCCCAGGCTGTAGCTGGGCTGTAAGCAGGGCGACCCTCACTGTGTCCTCATGGCCACTCTGGTGGAGCACACAGCAGCGGGTCAGTCAGTGGGCCGCTCCTCCAAGCATCAGTTTTAGTGTTTTCCCTCTAAACCTCTGCTTATACCCAGCTACCAATGCCAAGATAAGCGCAAACAATCACATCATCATACTTCATAATGCTCTTGTTTGCCCATGAGTTGTAAGCCAGTTGTTTAACAAGCGAGGGACAGCGGTCAAAGTTCAGCAGCAGAGGAGATGTCAGAGGCTCCACAGGCTGCACTGGTGAGAGCAGAGCCTTCACTCCCTTGCTGCCTTCCTCGATGTGCCCACACACAGTTCTTCAGCCTTGCCAACTTAGCTGTAGTTTCAGATACACTGTGCTGTCAGCACCAGGCCTTTGCACAAGCACCTCCCTGGAACACCCAGATTTCTCCCTAACCAGGTTCAGAGTCCTCCCTTAAGATGTAAAATCAAACTTCCACATTCCGTGTGCCTTGACATCTGGTAAAATCTAGAGCAGCAGTGGCACACCTGTGGCATGTGTGCCGCAGCGGGCTGTTTGTACCATCGGGAGCCCTAAAAGGGCCGCCATCACTAATCTGGAGAGTGTGAAGTAGCCCAATTGGAAGTGCCCTTCCCATTCTGCTCCCGTGGATGAGCGTCCCTTGACATCAGCCCTGCTGACCACGAGGACAGGAGCAGTGCCTGCTTGTCCTCCCTGAGTGGTCTTCAGGTCCCTGACAGCCTGCATGCTTATTCAGACAAGCCAGTCACATCTTCTCACAGGAAGGGTTCAACCCATCTTCCTGTTGCTAGCAGCTCACCTCCCTGGCCCTGGTGCAGACCCTGCATGGCCCTACGCAGCACAGTGCCCCCTCCTCAGGCTGTGATTGTAGGCGACTAATAAACTGCCATCCCTTTCACCTATCCAGCGACAGCTGTTGCATGTGCAGCCATCACTGTGATCCTCAGCGGGACTCCCTCCCTTACCTGCAAGGCGAAGGGGAAGTAGCCAAAACACCCTCCGGAGAATCGTCCCTCCTCTCCCTCTTTGCACTTCAGAGCCGCCTCCTCCATGTCCCCATGTTCTCCATTCGCCACTTAGTGCAGGTTTCGGCCTCGCTAGAGTGAGCTACTCAGGCTGGCCTTATGGCCTACTTGCTGCTACATTCTCAAGGCCTGGAGTAGAGCCTCCCATATGCTCAGAAAAGATTTGTTGAATTAATGAATGAGCCAGACATGGTGGCATAAACACACACACACACACACACACACACACACGCACGCACACACACACACACGCACACACACACACACACACAATCCTAGCTACTGTGGAGGCTGAGGCGAGGAGGAGCGCCAGTTCCAGGCCAGCCTTGGGCAACGTAGCAAGATCCTATCTCAAAATTAAAAGGAACAAAAAGGGCTGGGATGTAACTTAGTGGTAGAGTGCCTTGGGTTCAATCCCCAGTATTAAGAAAAAATAAATAAGTGGAGAATTTTTTTCTTAATGTCTAAACCCCAATTATGCTTTGTTTCCTAAAGCACTGCCATTGTATGTAAGTGATGGTTTGGGTGCTCTGGCTGGCACGTTTTACCTGTTGTGTGAAGGTTTCGGTTTATGAAGGAAACGTTTCGGTATTCTGTTGCTTTCCTGTTACACAGTCACTTCGGAGCCCGGTGGACAGTCAGCTAAGGACAGGCTGGTGATTCTGGTGGCCTCATGCAAGACCTTCCTGCAGCCTGTGTCTGTGTGTTATCTCATTAAATAGTGAGCCTTCTTTATTGTCCTTCTCTCAGGACAGCCTTTCATGAAAAGCCTTTTTTCCTGGTCCTGAGGGATCAATCCTCTGGCCATTATGAGGCTAGAGTTTTGCACTGCTCAGATCAATAAGATATAGGGCCTCATTTTGGAGCATTTATGCCTTTTCATAGTAATGTGAGAGCAGTCTTTGAAGGCAGAGAGGAGCTGAGGCCATCCACTTTTCACTCCCATCTTTGGAGATCTTAGGGCCAGCATGGATTACTTCTGTCAATAAAAAATAAATAAATACAAAGCAGGGAGAAGAGCAGCCTCCATGGTGCCTGGCCACCCATTTAACACAACTGAGGCCATTTGCTAGCGAGCCCTGTTCCCCAGAGCAGGCTGCAACACCCTCTGTCTGCTTTGGACTCAGTTTACATCAGCACTCACTTTCTCTTCATTTACAGTAGCAAACATATTTTTAAATAAACATTTCCTTAGTAACAGCTTCCCATATCTAAATTATACTTTAAGTTGAAATTTCAAACCAAGCCACCTTATAAGCAATTATCATATATTTACTGGGATTGTTATTAAAGACTGTATGTATAAAACCTCACTGTATTGAATTAATTTAGATTTCTGCTGCTTACAAGGAAAGGTGCCAAGGGTAGAGAGAGTGCATATGTGCAAACACTTTAGAAACTCTATACTATTTTATAAGTATAACGTGCTGTTGTTGTTATTGCTTATGTTGGGAGTAAATGCACGTTAGTCCTAGGGCTTCCCTTGCCTTCTATGAAGACGTTGTGAAAAATGTAGAGTAGTGAGCATTCTTTTTATCTTCATTAGGGGAAAAGTTATTTCCATTAACTCTCAAAAAATGCTTGCTGGTTAAGTAACAGGTATTTTGAGTAACAGATATTTTGTCCTTAGGGAAAGAATATGGCAAAGCTGATTCAAGGTGGCTTTATCTTGATCCAACCATTGTGTCTTTGGAAATTTTGACTGTTGTCCTGGATGGGCTTCTGGCATTGATCCTTATTTATGCCATAGTCAAAGAGAAATATTACCGGTAAGTGCTTTTCTTCCGTCAGGCTGAAAAGAAGAGAAAGGTTAGCTGTCCCAATGGCTAAGTGACATTTAGAGCAAGTTGTGACCTCATTTATTTGTGAGATAAAAGTAGAATAGAAATGAAAATTGTTTGGTATTAGATAAGGGTCATGGTGTCACTAGGATAGTTTTTTTATCATCTGAAATAAAAAATTTGAGAAATAAGATTCTGTCGCACCATTCTTGCCTCGCCGGACAGTATCAGTCGACTGACCACTGTCTTAGTCACTTCCCATCTCAGAGACACAATACCTGGCACTGGAACTTAAAGAAGAGGGTTATTTGGCTCACGGTTTCAGAGGGTTCGGTCTGCGCATGTTCACCTGGCTCCAAGGCAGACAGGGCAGAGCGGACAAGGGTACAGGAGAACTGCTCAATCCGTGGCAGCCAGAAAGCATACAGTGAGAAAGAAGGAGCTGAGGACAGACATACACCCTTCCAGGCTGGGCACAGTGGTGCACACCTGTAATCCCAGCACCTGGGAAGCTGAGACAGGAGGATTGACGCAAGTTCAGGGCCAGCCAGGATTACATAGGAAGTTCAGGACTAGTCTGAACTACATAGTGAGACCCTGTCTCAAAAAAAAAAAAGCACCCTTCCAAATCATGCCCCTGGTGACCCACTTCCAACCAGGCCTGCCTCCTAGAAGTACCTTCAGGCATGAACCCAGTGGATTAACGCCCCCCAGGATCCACTTCAAAAGCTCCACCTCTGAACACATGATACTTTTGAGGGACAACTTTGATCTAAACTAAAACATATACCAATAGTTTAGAGAAGAAAAGCATAATACTTGTATCTTCTTTCCCAATATTACTTTAGGAAACACCTATCCCACTTGACATAGACTAACTTCTGTTGCACACTTCTGAGATGCACTTGCAAGACAAATAAGAGATCTTTTCAGAAGTCGGTTGTAGAGGGCATAGGAAGGCAAAGGGTGGAAAGAAGGAGGAAGCTGAAGAATTAACCATGCTGTAAGTCAGACTCAGAACTCTAAACTCACATCTTCGTTCCCTTTTCTTTCCTTCTGAGGGACAGGGTGATTTGGGGTGCCAATCCTGGGCATGATTCACTAAAACAATGTCTGGTAGGACAACTGCGTTCTATTTTCTGCTGTCTTATATTGAAGAAGTATTGTGTAAAACTTCATCATAAAAACTCAGATTTGAAAGAGGCCTCGAAGGCCATTCAATCCACTTTTGCCCACCCAGTTTTCTTTTTTTTTTTTTTTTGTACCGGAAATCTAACTCAGGACCTTGCACTTGCCAGGCAGGCACTTGTGCTGCTGAGCTATATCCCCAGCCAGCCCACCCAGTTTTCAAGTAACAGTAGTGCCTTAACAGTTTTGGCTCCATGACCAGACTGCAGATTTGCTAGATGCACCTATTACCTCAAATATTTATACTTGCATCATGGAATATTCACTCTGTGCCAGGCACAGTATTTGGCCCTTTATCTACATACCTCATTCAGCACTGTTTGAGGAAAGAACTATTATTGTTCCCTTTTACAATAGGTGATCCTGGGGCTTATGGAGAGATACACATGCAGGTCTTCCCCTTGCTGGGCTAGGTGTGACTCCACTAAATCTTCCTCAGAATAATCCAGGATACCCCAGAGTCCTTAGTTAATTCAGAGAATAACATGCTAGGAAGGGCACTATTGATTCCCCAAGGAAAGAATGACTCCTCCTTAATTAGGTTGACTTGCCCATCAAAGGAGCACTACGTAAAACCTAGGTTCAGCTTCAGAGAGGTTTTTGTAGAGAAGATTGCATTGTAGTGAAGACTGTAGTGAAAGCTGCCCTTAGAAAAGATGTCCTAGGGCCGGGGATATAGCTCAGTGGCACAGTGCCTTCCTTGGCAAGCACAAGGTCCTCAGTTCAATTCCTGGTACCAGAATTAAAAAAAGGAAAAGAAAAGAAAAGAAGAGAAAAGATGTCCTAATTCAGTGTGCCAAACTGCAGAGCTGGTGGTTTCATTCTTTGCTTCTTTCTGTCCAACAGGCATTTCATACAAGTTACCCTGTGCGTGTGCGAACTCTATGGTGGCTGGATGACCTTCTGCCCAGAGTGGCTTATCGGAAGCCCTAACCTCAACACCGACAGTTGGCTGTACTTTTGGGTCTACCTGGTATTTTTTAATGGTGTGTGGGTTCTAATTCCAGGACTGCTGCTGTGGCAGTCATGGCTAGAACTCAAGAAGATGCATCAAAAAGGAACCAGCGTAGGGAAAAAGTCTTGGTAAATTTTCAAAATCATAAACACTACTACCTTGCTTGAGGAGCTAGGATGGATCAAACAGTTCACCCTACACTTTCTTTTTATATTGTTCTGAGCAACCTATTTCCAATTAGTTGTAAGGTGGCAAGTTCTTACTTCTTTTTAATTAAATGGCAGTATAAGGAAAAAAGAGGGCTGGGCATGTAACTCAGTGTTAGGGTGCCTGGCTAGAATCTGCAAGGCCTTGGCTTCCATTCCCAGAACCATAAAAAAAGGGAGAGGGTGAAGAGAATTAATTTCAAATTTACCTTGTAATAATATCACACTGAATTATACATTTTTGTGGCTGGCATTAATTGTTCACATTAATAAAGCCAATTGTAATAGAACATTGCAGAGTGTTACATTACTTTTTTATTCCAAAGAACATATTGCTTCCTCTTTTAATCTTTCAGTAGTCTCTTTTGGTTACCTTTGTGAAACCAGAAGGAAACGAGTGCTTCCATTTTACATTTGTACTTTTCCAAATTTGTGAACCCAACAAAACCATAGTAGTAGCAACTTATTCATGGGCTGACACCTTGTGAGGAAGCACGGGGGCCCCACAGACAGATGAGGGATTTGTCTGTCCTTTTTCAGGGTGGACTATGTGAGATACCTTACAGAAATATATATTATGATAAAAAATAAATCAGGAAATAGGATGCAGGGAAAATGAGAGTGAAAAATAATAAGATGAACATAAAGTTACCGTGCAAAATGTTAGCATTCTATGTAATGAGCATACATGAAGCACAGCTTTGGCACATACCCTCAGTACCTGGAGGGAAATATGAAAACTCAGGTCCCAGGAGGTGATCACAGTAGCTCTCGAGGCGGGGAGCATGTATTCACATTAACTTGCTCAATACCTGCCTTTAGTACTAGACCTTAAGCTCACAGAGGCGTCCTCTGCCCAGAAAAGTGTCTAGCGTGTGAACCAGGCACTTGGTAGGTGGTAGTGGATGCTGCAGCTCAGACAGCTCAGTCTGCACCCCACCCTCCTCTCCCTGGCTGCTGTAGCTTGGATCTGGAATGTCCCCCAAAGGCCATGTATTGAAAGCTTTGTCCCCAGCCGGTGACACTATTGGGAGGTGGTGAAACCTTTAAGAGGTGGAAAAAGAAGTTAGGTTGTCAGGGATGTGCCCTTGAAAGGGCTATGGCAGTGATGGCGAACCTTCTAGAGCTTCCAGTGATACAGACAGCCTACTATGGCATGCGTGCCACAGGTTTGCCACCACTGAGCTATGGGGACCCAGGCCCTTCCTCTCTGTTGCTTCCTGGCTTCCATGAACAGCTTTGCTCACACTACCCTCCTGCCATGATGTGCTAGGCTACCGCAGGCCCAAAGTAACAGGTTTTATGGACTGAAACCTCTGAAATAAGCCACAATAAGCCTTTCCTCCTTTTAAATTACTTATCGCAGGTATTTGTCACATGAACAGAAGGCTGTGCACCTGCAGCTCTACACCTTTGGGCTCTGAGCCTGGATGCCTAATTGGTTTCACTTGTCAGTGGACTTGAGCAATTTAGAAAGTGAAAGCGTAGAGGCCAGCCCCCCACTCCATCCTGTGCTCAAAAGTAAGGTCATGAAAATGTGAGTTTCTGTATTATGTTCAATTTCCTGGCTACTAAGTAGGTGGAGTGGCCAGAATAAAGGTTCCGTGGTCCCCATGGAAGTCACCCCTAGAAGCTTAACCAAGTACCTGTACCCTAACCCCAGCAACTGTGTGCTAAAATGGCAGCATTACTTAGAATAACCTCAAACTGGAAACAGCTTGAATGAACGCACACACACACACACACACCACATACACAGTGTATGCATACCCTGGATTGCAAACCAGTAACATGGATGACTTTCACGGATACCATAAGTAAAAGAGGCCAGACCAAAAACTGCATATTGTATGATTCAATTTATGTAAATTTAAAAATAAACACAGGTTGAATATCTCCTATCCATACTGTTTGGGAATCATCTCAGATATCAGAGGTTTTCAGATTTGGAGATATTTGCATAGACTTCTGAGTGAGCCGCCCTAATTCAAAATACTTGAAAATCTTTATGGATTTTGGACTTCTGGGTTAAGGATACTCAACCTGTAAAACTAATAGATGGTGTCAGAAATCAAAATAGAGGTTACCTTTGTAGAAGAGGTAGAAGTAGTAATGGGACAAAGTCATGAAGGAGGTTCTGAGTTGCTAGTAATGTTCTGTTTCCCATTTGCATGGTAGTTATAATTAATTGTGAAAATCCATTCTGTTGTAGCATCTTCATTACTTTTCTCATTGCTGAGACAAAATACTCAGCGTCCAAAGTTAAGGGAGAAAAGGTTTATTTCAGCTTACAGTCCATAGAAGTTTCAGTCCGTAGTCAGCTGGCTCCGAGACAGGGTGGCATGGCAGAGGGGCATGGCGGAGGAGAAAGAGTTCATGGCAAGCAGAAGACAGCAAAGCAGTGAGGCGGCAGCAGCAACAACCAAGCTGCAAACTTCCCTTTGCCCTTTATCCCATCCAGGCTATAAGCATTTTGGGTGGTGCCACCCATTCCCAGGGTGGGCCTTCCCATTAGCCACTCCCAGCACTGTGCTAATTTCAACCAGTGGACTAATTTAACACCACACACCCTTAATCCCAGGATCACACACTGTAGGTCCAGCAGCACCAAAAAGCCCCACCTATGAGCACATGAGGCTTGGCGGGACATCTAGATACAAGCCATAGCGTGTACTCTTACAAATTCTCTCTCTCTCTCT